CTGCAGCGTATTGTACTGGCCTGCTGCTGGTTTGGCCTAGATAAGATCTGTGAAGGCCAGGTGGAGGCGACTGGAGATGAACACAATGTGGAAAGCATTGATGGCAAACCTGGTGCCTTCACCTGCTACTTGGATGCAGGCCTCGCCAAAACTACAAGTAGCAGTAAAGTTTTTGGATCCCTAAAGGGTGCTGTGGATGGAGACTTGTCCATCCCTCACAGTACCAAACGATTCCCTGGTTATGATTCTGAAAGCAAGGAGTTCAATGCAGAAGTACACTGGAAACACATCATGGGTTAGAACATTGCAGATTATATACATTACCTAATGAAGAAGATGCTTACAAGAAACAGTTCTCTCAGTACATAAAGAACAATAACTCCAGACATGGAGGAGATGAATAAGAAAGCCCAAGCTGCTATACGTGAGAATCCAGTCTATGAAAAGAAACTGGAGAGAAGTTAAAAAGAAGAGGTGGAACCATCCCAAAATGTCTCTTGCCCAGAAGAAAGATCGAGTAGCAAGCTTCCTCAGAGCTCAGGAGTGGGCTGCTGAGAGTTAAACCAAATTTCTATGAAGATTTTTCAGATAAAGACCAATAAACTTATTCATCAAGCAAAACAAAAAAAGTCAATTTACTTTTTTAAATATAGAATATATTTGGCTCCTTAATTTCAAGTTCCCCACTAATCTTTTAATCTTCTTTAACACACAGAATATATAGTATCAAGAATAAGTATTTTAAATTATATATCTGAAAACTTCATTATATGGATCTATTGTGGCCTGTTTTTTGGTGTGTCTGTGTTTATTATTGTGTTTGTATCAAACCCAGTGCCTCACATACCGCTATGCAAGTGCTCTACCACTGAGCCACATTCCCAGCCCTGTCTTTTCTTTTTTAAAACATGATTTTATTTTGTCTTCTCACATGCTGGGTTATTTAAATTCAAATAGTAGACACTGTGATAAAAACTTGTAAAACATTTAGATCCAAGACATTATCTCCTTGTAGGTTTTCTTCTCGGAGATAGCTAGGTTTACTAACAATCCCAGATCACCTGAAGTCAGTGAACGAGTTAGGTCTTTTGAAACTGGACTTTCATCTTGCTGAAGTCTAGTATATTTCTAATTCACCCTTCCTCCTAGGGTGTAGGATCCCAAATACTCCAAAATACAGGGATACTCCAAAATTAGATCTCCCATCCTTGGTAGACACTGAACTCTTATTTTTTTCCTGTACTTTATTGTGGTTCATTTCTATTTCTTATCTTCTTAGCCACCTGTTAACTGGCTTTTTTATCTAGGTAAGTGATCTCTTACCCTAAATTTGAGGTTTTCTTCTCCCATATTTTTCCTTTCTTTCTCCTCTCTCCCTACCTCCCTTTTTTTCTTCCTCCCTCCTTTCTTTTGCAGTGCTGGAGTTTGAACGCAGGGCCTTACATGAGCAAGGCAGTCACCCATTTATCACTGAGCCTTACCTCTTTCTCATAATTTGATCTCATGATTTCTCATGACCTTGTTAGCTCTCTGACTCATATTTTTAGAGGAATTTTCATTTTGTCCACTTATTTGTCAGGTTATATGTCATATGCCAGTACCACAAACATAACCTCATGTTGTTAACTTTTATTTTCAGGGTTTTTTTTATAGCAATTTATAAGATATGTAAATGATTGTTCAACGAAGCTTTCATTTCATATAAGGTATTGAGAAAATCCAAAGTAAACCTCTCATATAAATGAATTTTTGAGACATAGGTGGAATTTCTTCACTTTGATGGAACCATTAATTATTTTAAATTTTCTGGTTTATTAATTTATCTTGCATATACTATTTGAAAATACTTTAAACTACTTTTTTTGAGATAAGGATCCACCTAAATACAATTTCCAATATAAAAAACATGTCCAGCTCAGCATGGTGGCACTTGTCTGAAATCCCAGCAGTCTGGAAGACTGAGCCAGGTGGATCTCAAGTTTGAGCCTAGGCTGGGCAACTTAGTGGCTGAGCTGGTGGCCTTGTGGCTCAGTATAAAGGCCCTGGATTCAATCCTTGGTACAGAGGCAAAAAAAAAAAAAAAAAAAAAAAAGGAATATTTTCATCACCTGCTAGAATTCCCATAGTCCCTTTCTCAGTCAGCATCCTCTGCTCCAATAAACTCCCAGCTTGTTTCCAGTCACCATATATGTATTAATCTTTTCAAGAATTTCACATGGGGGCCTGCGAGATCACTCAGAGGGCTAAAGCGCCTGCTTAGGCAAGCGCAGGGACTGCAGTTCATCCCTGGCACCACATGCCGAGCCAGCCCTGCCCCTGGGGTGGGCTGAGCCAGCCAGAGTAGTAGTGGCGCACACCTGTATTCCCAGTGCTGGGGAGGCTGAAAGCAGGAGGATCCCCACAAGTCTGAGCTGCATAGTGAGACCCTGTAACAACCAAATACATTTAAAAAAATAAAATAAAATTCTCCCATCTCACATATTTTATTATAGTAGCACAGACTAAGAAGTTTTTCCTTTTTATTCACATAAAGAGCTATCCAGGCAGGCACTTTCATCAGGAGCACCTAGCTGCTCATTTTGTGTGCATGCATTGACTATTCATCTTTGAAATTGAGAAATACTGAAATCTCAGACTCTAAATTTATAATGCTGTAAAGCTTGCTTTTAAAGGGATAGGCCTCTGTAATGGTGTCTCCAGAGTATGCTGTTGTCATACGGGTGTTGGTGTCATAGTATTTTAGCTTTCAGTCATACAAATGAGTTCTTGTATATTCATTCAAATGTTAAGGTTAAAGAATGGCTATATTCGCATAAATTTAAATGTGACAGCTACTGAGACCGTGTATCATTAAAGGATAATAAATACATGTTATTACTACCTATAAGATTAAGGAATATGAGTAATTGGTTTTCCAGATGAAGGATTTTAAATTTTAATATTTAACAAAGTAAAATTTTAAAATAATTTAATGTATATATTTTGTCTTTTAAAAATAGGGTAATATTATAGGGTATCTTCTGGTATTCTTTGAAAAGATGGGGGGCCTGGCCCTAGCTCAGTTCTTTAAGTGGCTGCTTCCACCAAGCTGTCAGCCTCAGGTGGCTCTAGTTCGATCCCCACAACTCTGCAGCCAGCCACACAAGCCCTGAGGGCATGCGGAGGAAAACAAAACGAAAAGATGATACTTTCTTTTGGACAAGTTGTCTTTATTCTGTGACATATATATACACAGTTATTTTTTTACACCAGCTTTTTTTTTTTTTTAAGGGTAGGGTCTATAGGATGTTCAGGGTTTCACTACTAGATTGGACTCGTAGTGATCCTCCTGTTTATAGCCTCCCAAGAGCTGGAACGGGGATTGAACTCAAGCCCTTGTGCTTGCCAGGCAAGCGCTTATTCTACTGAGCCGTCTCCCTGGCCCCCAAGAGCTGGAATTAAAGGCGCGGGCCACCACACCCAGTCTCAATTGCCAACTCAGCACACCCCAGGGGGCGGGCTGGCATGGTTGGCCTGGGCCAGCATGGTTGACCCGGCTTAGCCTGCTTGCAGGTGCTTTAATCTGCTGAGCTATTTGGCTGGCCCTACACTATTTTCTTTCTTAAGCAAACTTATTTTGCACATAAAGTGTTTTGTGGAAACTAGCTGTCTTACATCATCTGTTACCTTCTTTAATATTTTATTCTAAAGTATTGATCTAAGATTTAGTCTATATTTCTGTGTATGTCACTTTTATGGGGAATATAAGTAAAATTTTCTAATTTCTAAAAACAAAGGCTCTGAGTTCAGATTCCCATCTTAATAATACTTAGCTGTGAAACTTTAAGTAATTTCATTTGAGTTCCTCATCTATAAAAAAGGTAATGATAGTAATTCTTGCAAGATTTAGAAGATAATTTATCAATTTAATCTTTTCTGTGGTGTATAATTTGCTTCCATTTAAGAAATCTCTTGATGTTAATATTAGTTGAGGACTCTACATTCTGAACATGGCTATAATATATCAAATATTCTTAGATAGTGAATGCTTAATTATAATGGGCACTGTTTAGGTTAGTTATAAATATGGATACTATTCCAGATTATTGACTATAGTGGGTGAAGAGTAAGAAACACCTAGTGAGATTTTAGCTCTTTATGACTGTACTACATTTTAAAAAGAACTATGTACTCTTCAGTTCCTGAACAACAGCTGCTTGATATTGAAGATTGCGACCTCAATGTGGTGAGACTGTGTTTTCAAGTTTTTCTTCCTGATGAACATGGTAATTTGACAACTGCACTGCCTCCTGTTGTCTCTAATCCGATTTATGACAACCGTAAGTGCTTTATTTTCTTGTATTTGTAGACTTTCTTAGTTTTTTTATATTAATTTTAAAAATATTTTGATATTTAGAAAAATGTATGTTTATTCTTGGAAAATCTCAGATATTATAGAAATATATGAATGAAGTAAATCTCCTATAATCTTATTCTCCAAAAATTAACCATAGTTCTCTGATTCCTATTTTGGCAGTTTCTTCTTCATATATACACATACATTATCATCCACACAAAATAATTTTGTGAACATTAAAATGTTATCACTGGGGCCGGGGAGATGGCTCAGGAGAATAAGCGCTTCCCTGGCAAGCACAATGACCTGAGTTCAATCCTCAGTTCTGCAAAAAAAAAAAAAAAAAAAAAAGACATTTGGTTTGTTTAATTCTTCCTACATTGCTAACAAACTGCATTCCAGTAAATATTGTTATGCATGCCTATCTTGTGGAAATACTTCTCTGGCAGAGATTTCTAGAAGTAGAAATGCTAGATTAAAAGATATGGAAATTTATCATTTGATTATGAAACTGCCCTCAAATATCTTCCAATGTGTAAACACACACTTATATATATGTTTATAATGGTCATACCTGTTTTGCATGTAGAACAGTGAGACTCAGGCATTAATGAAGCTTAGAGTATCCTCATCATGCAGAGCTTTGAATGTCAGTGAGAACTACAGTGCTGTAATAATACTGCCCAGATAAAAGCAAGCGCAGACAGTTACCAGTGATGGCCAATGAGTTCAGATTACCCTGGTGACAACATGTAGGATGGACTGGAAGCATCAGAATCAGAAGCAGGGAGGTTTAATTTAGAGAAATGTCACTGCCTAGAAACAGTTACAAGGCTATAAGCCAGGTTTGGTAAAGCAATTAGAAAAGAAAGGGACATACTTGGATGATTAATATAGCATCTTTTATCTGTATGTTAAAACTTTTTATGTATTATATAAACAGTTTCCCCCAATTCTCCCTTTGACAACAGATTAAACTGTATTACTAAGGTAGCAACCCATTTTAAAAAGATCCTTTATATTTAGGTGCCCCGAATACTGCAGAATTAAGGATTTGTCGAGTAAACAAGAACTGTGGAAGTGTCAGAGGAGGAGATGAAATATTTTTGCTTTGTGACAAAGTTCAAAAAGGTATTTACTCATTTTTTTTTCCATTAAATCTGGAATGTATTTTAGATTAATGGATGGGTGTTACTTCACTTTCCCGTTCTTATTACTTCTTCGGCTTCTTATTACTAGATGACATAGAAGTCCGTTTTGTGCTCAATGACTGGGAAGCAAAAGGGGTCTTTTCCCAAGCTGATGTGCACCGTCAGGTGGCCATCGTGTTCAAGACGCCGCCCTACTGCAAAGCCATCGCGGAGCCAGTGACCGTGCAGATGCAGCTGCGGAGGCCCTCTGACCAGGAAGTTAGCGAGTCCATGGATTTTAGGTATCTGCCGGATGAGAAAGGTATGGCACGACATCGAGCTGCTTCTGATTATGTTTCTGAAAGTTGATCCTATTAGTGCATTGTAAGATACACTTAAGTAGTTATGTGTATTCACTTCATTTTTTTCCTGTAAGTTTTAGGATTTTTCCCCCTTTATGCTCTTCATTTTTGTTGGGACCATTTGACTCAGCTGAAATAATTTTAGAGTATCTAAAATGTTTTTCAAAATTTGTTTTATTTTTGGTAGTCTGCATGCCCTTTTAATAGATGGAAAACTTGTTTTAGTCCTTATCTTTAGTCCTTATTTTATTAATTGGTATTGACTTATAGGTGTTCTGAAAAACAAGCTAACTATTTTGTACAGGTTTTGTTTTTTTTTTTTGAGAGAAAAAGATACTTTGCAACAATTCTGGGACATTCTATAATAATATACTTACTAAGTCCTTATTATTTGTGTTCCTTTAAAGCATTTTCTGTTTGCAAATGAAGTACCTTCTTACTAATGGAGGGGAAGTATAATCCCATGATGACTCACCTGCTTTCTTGGTTTCTTTTCTTTTTCTTGGTTTCTATTTTAATCAGATACTTATGGCAATAAATCAAAGAAACAAAAAACAACTCTACTTTTCCAGAAACTCTGCCAAGATTGTGGTAAGAATATTTTAGATTGATTCATATTTAAGTAGACTTTGTGTTATTTGGTTTCTCAGACTTTAAGTGACAAATTAATCAAATTATGTTTATTAATGGAAAAAATCTTTATTGTAGCAGTTAATATTCCAGAGAGACCAAGACCTTGCCCCTCAGGAGCAAATGGAGAAGGGAGACTCATCAAAAAAGGTATTTTATCCCCTATGGACTATTCCTTGTGATTCTGTACTTTGCACGGTGCATTAGAATTCTATTTTTAAGAATAAACAACTGCTTCCTTAATATTTCCACTCCTACAGGGTTTTTCATGTTTTTAATAAGTGAAGTGAGCTTCGCTTCTGGACACTGTTGAAAAACATGTTCGAGAAATTTATTGTTTGAGAAAGTATATTTTATTCATACAGTAATAATTTACTAATTGCATTGTGTGATGAAATGATTAGATCTGTTTAGTCATCTGTCCTTGTAAATAAAGTTTTATTGGCACACAGCCATATTCATTAGGTTATATAGTGTCTCTAAGTGCCCTTTTATCTTTCATTTTTGGCAGTGCTAAGGGTTGAACCCAGTGAACCTCATACACCCAGCAAGTGCTTTAATTTTTTTTTTAATGTGGTTTTTTGAGGTAGTGTCTGACTGTGTAGTGCAGGCTGGCCTTGAACTCACTATGTATTCCTGTCTCAGCTGGGATAGACAAGTGCTTTTAAACTAAGCAATATGCTCAGCCTTTTTTTTATTTTCCCCAGATAGTTCCAGTACAAGCTGTATAGCCCACAAAGTCTACAGTACTTAACTGTCTGGACCTTTATGGAAAAAAAAAATTTACCAAGCCCTGATTCACATTATTCAACCAAGGGTTAATTGAAAGTCTTTTTTCCTGCCTGTTCTTTTTTTTTAAGATTTATTTATTTGGTATAGGGTCTTACTGCGTAGCTCAGACTCAGTGCTCCTCCTATCTCTGCCTTCCCTAGCACTGGGATTACAGGCATGCGCCATCATACCCAGTTTTGGTGGCTGGTACAGCATGTGGTACTGGGGATTGAACCTGGGTCTTTGTGCTTGCCAGGCAGGTGCTCAGATTGCTGAGCTATGTTCCCGGCCTGTTAAATTCTTCAATCAGCACTTTTTCCTGCTTTGGTTCTTTATTTTATTATCATTTTTTTAAGCTTGATTTTATTTTGAAAAGTAAAAACACAAGCAAGGACAAAACGCAGAAATACAGAAACAGTGTAACATACAATAATACATATGTTACAGATTTTCAAAAAGAATAGCTGATTAACAGTGGTTGATATATTATCTATTTTTATCATCAGATCTGTCGCCCAGATTAACAGAAAGTTATGTAAGATTGGACATATGATGGCATATTACTGCTTGCTTTCAAGAAACCTTAAATTTGTGTTGTCTTTTTTTTTTGTATTTTAGGGAAGGGTCTACAGGGTGTTCAGGTTCTCACTACTAGATTAGACTCATAGTGATCCGCCTGTTTACAGCCTCCCAAGAACTGGGATTACAGGCGCACGCCACTATGCCCAGTCCCAATTGCATCTCAGTGTGTCCCAGGAGAGGCCCACCCTCCCTGGGATTGAACCCCTGGTCCCTGCACCTGCTTGCAGGTGCTTTAATCTGCTGAGCTAGTTGGCCAGCCCTTGTTCTTATCTCTTTTCTTTTTTCTTTTTCTTTTTTTCTTTTTGCCTTTTTTTTAAAAAAAAATTATTTTAAACAGAGTATAGTAATAATTGATGAGACAGTAGAAATGGCACACATTTAGAAGACCAGGATGACAGATATTCAAGCAAGGCGTTTTATATTGCACATTGCTGTCCTCGATGTAGTTGTTTAGATTGCAGCTATCAGCATCCAGAGTTGGTCAGGGTGAAAATTCTACACATTAACTGCTGTTTTCAAAAAACTGATGGAAAAGTTTAGAACAGTCACCTCAACCTCCTGTATATATACTTGCATATTTTCCCCCTACCTTTTTTCCTATCTTTTCTCCTTTCTCTCATTTTCATTGTTTAATCCCTAAGTTCAGTTTCTTTGTGTTTTACTGTATCTGTTATACCTTTCAGGTTTATTCTTTCAGGCTCTTACACTAGGGAGGCAGTATGGTATTTACACATGTGGGTCTGGTGTATTTCACATATGAGTACAGCCTCTAGTTGCATCTTCATGCCTTTCCTGCTTTAGCATATGTAACTTTTTTTTTTTTTTTTTGTATTTAGGACAGGGTCAACAGGGTCTCTTTAGGTAGATCGGACTTGTAGTGATTCTTGTGTTTTCACCCTTCCAAGTGCTGGGATCACAGGCACATGCCACCTCGCCCAATCTCATTTGCCGGCTCAGCGCACCCCGTAGGTGCGGCTGGCATGGCACACTGGGGATTGAACCGCAGCCGCTGCGCTTAGTATATATAACATTTAAGTATTATGTAAATAATACAGAATTAATTTTTCCTTAATTTTTTTTTTTCTTTCAGAACTGGGGATTGAACTCAGGCCCTTGTCCTTGCCAGGGAAGCACTTATTCTACTGAGCTATCTCCTCAGCCCATGTGCTGAGAGTTATATTCTTGAAAGCTAGATTTTCATATGGAGTGAAATTCCATATGACAGAATGACTTACAAAAACCATTTTATTTTTTTACAAAAATAATTTTAAAATGTTTATTAAAAATTACACATTACAGAATTCAGTAATAATTTTAATATGTTTTAAAGAATTTTTATTTACAGTATTATCAGTTACTTAGAATTTTTTATTAATGTTTTTGCAATTTCAATTTAGAGATAATACTTTGTATAATTTTGTTCATCTTAAATTTATTAAATACGTTTTTCTTTCCACAGAATCGAACTTGTTCCCTCATGGTACAGTTATCCCAGAAATGCCCCGGCCTTCAGGGATTTCAGGTCAAGCGGAACCCTACTATCACTCATCAGTGGCCATCACGAGTGCGATGTCGCATCACGCTTCAGCCATGCCTGCAATGGTATCTCAGCACTCTTCAACCTGGTCGTCAGTGTCCCATCCCACCTCACGCTCAGTCAGTGCAAATCCATTGAGCAGTTTTCCAACACTTCCCACTAATTCACAGAGCATCTCATCATTCCTGACAATGCCTCTTGGGAGTGATTTAAATGCTTCTAATGCTTGCATTTATAACAGTGCTGATGATCTGGGCAGGATGGAAACCACCTCCATGTCTCCAGCTGACTTATATGGCATTTCTGATGCCACCATGCTGCCTAATATGATGACAACCAGCAGTGACAGCATGGGAGAGACAGACAACTCGAGACTTGTGAGCATGAATCTTGAAAACCACTCCTGTAATTCCGTGTTAGATCCAAGAGACTTAAGACAGCTCCAGCAGGTGTCTTCTTCCACTATGTCAGCAGGCACCAGTTCCAGCAATCCAGTTTTTGTTTCACAGTCAGATGCATTTGAGCGATCTGACTTTAATTGTGCAGATAACGGCCTGATAAATGAGCCGGGACCGTCAAATGGTGCTAATCCAAACAACCACAGTTTTCAAAATAGTCAGTATTCAAATTTTGGTAATATGCAGAATGAGCAACTGAGCGAATCCCTTACGTACGAGTTTTATAAGTATAATTTGTAGGACTTAAATCTTTTGAAATGTTTGTGATCATTTTGGTAGTACTGATACGTAGCATCTTATATATGTGTCACCAAAAATACAATACAGAGCTGTTTTTGTAACTTTTTTATAGAAGGATTAAACTTCAGATGTATAGAGAATATATGCTTTGGGTGTATATAGAAATCAAATCTTGGAAGTTGTTATAAAAAGAAAACTCAAGCTAAAAGTGGTGGTACACACCTTAAGCTTAGCATTTAGGAGGCTGAGGGAGAAAAGGATCACGAGTCCAAGACTAGGCTGGGCTTCCACCCAGCGAGACAAAACACAGACACACAAAAAAAATGTTCTTCTGTTTCTTCTTTGAAAGACCTGACGTACTGTGTGTGGTATAAATTCTATCTTCAAAATTCTACTGCACTTCCCCAGGCAAGACTTTAAGGAGGACATTAAACAACAAAGAGTTTTTTCTAATTTTATATTTCTTTTATAACATATTAATGTATTGTTAAGTGAATTAACTGATATTTGCTTTCATGCAAATTTAAGGGAAAACTTGTAGTGGCTATGCCACTGGAAAAATAAATTACTTTTTTTTCTCTTCTTTTTGAGGCCTGTGTACCCCTAAGGGGTTTTCTGGGGCTTCTTGGAATTTCTTAGATTTATATATAAATCAAACCTCTTTAAATGTTAAGTTGTGCAGAAGGCAGTTGAAGTGAGCTTTCTAGTATGGGAGGATTCCTCCATTTTATACTATTTAAATCTCTATCTTTAAAGTTGCTTATGATTTTTAGCTTTGCACCTGTATTTTCAAGAGCAAGAAGCTTCTTTGTACCTCTTTTCTTAGGTATTTCCACTCTCTATGGTCTCATACAACTGCCTGTTTGACATCTAGAAATCTAATTAGAACTCCAGTTCAGAATATCCAGACCTGAGTTCTTGGTCTTTCCTCCCAAACTTGCTTCTCCTCTAGTCTTCTCCAACTCAGTAAATGGCAATGCCATGCTTCTAATTGCTCAGGCCAAAACTCTTGGCGTCGTCTTTGATTCTTTTATCTCCCATATCCAACTCATGGAAAGAATCCATCTTAAGTGAAAATTTACACTTTCATACTCTTGAGCCTGGGACAAGTAGGATCTTGCTGGTTCCTGACATGCCCTCAAGGCTTATTTCTCTTGTTCAGAGTACTTGGTTTCTTCTTAATTGTGCTAATCTATTCAGGAACCATAACTCCTTTGACTCCAATTGTAATACATGTTTTTTTGTTTTGTTTTTTTAGTACATGGCCTACAGTGTCTCACTACACAGATTAGACACGTAGTTATTCTCCTGGTTTTAGTCTCCCAAACACTGGGATTACAGCAGTGCGCGCACTCTCAGTTGCAGTCTCAGTGCGCCCTGGGCGTGGGCCGGCGCAGCATGCTGGGGATCAGACTCTGGTCCCTGCATCTGCTACATGGTTCCTTTTAGACCAAAGTTTTTCACATATTTTAGCTCTGCTTTTTGCTTCCAGTTTTCACTTACAGATCTGGCAGAAATTGAAATTTCCTCTGTCATACTAGTTTATGAGCCTCAAACTTAGCTTCCCCAGGATATAAGCAAACTATAGACATTTGGTTTGTTTGTTTGGTTTTTTTTGCCAGAGTAAAATTTTCCCAGGAGTAAAATTCCCCAGAGTAAAATTATCCCAGACTCCAGCTTTCCCATGAGTCCTTGTTTCTGGCTGAAACCTCATGAGCACAGCCTTAACTGTCTACATTCCTATTAGCATTCTGGTCTTCTGGGCTCTGACTAGAATTACCTATCAGCTTTGCTGAAAGAACTCCAGTGCTTCTCTAACTTGTATCCTCAAATCTTTCTGATCTTCTCCGTAAACTTAAAAGCCTTCTAAAGTACAGCATCATGTGTAGCTACAGAAACAACCCTGTTTCTGAACTACCAGTATTCTGCATCGGTCAGTTTCCCATTGGGCAAAATACCTGACACAACTGTAGGAAGAGAAGTTTCTTTGGCTCGTGGTTTTCAGAGGATTCAATTCATGGTCAGCTGGCTCCAAGCCAGGGACATCATGGCAGAAGAGCATAGTTGGGCAAAGTTGCTAAGTTCATGGCAACTGGGAAGCAAAAACGCCCATGAGAAAGCAGCCGTGGACCAGATACAGTCCTCAGGGTCGCACACCCTTGGTCCACCCAGCACCGTAGAAGCGCGCTTTACTAATCTCATCAGTGGCCCCAAGTCAATCAAGTTGACAGACTTGACTGTCACACTGAGCAAGGCCTACCATGACTAATTCCAGCATTCCTATTCTTCCTGCTTTTTGTATCTGTATAGCACTGAACTGACTAGACATTTATTTATTTTGTGTATCGTTTACTGAAATACAGGTTTCATGAGGGCAGAAATTCTTGTCTTATTTATTATCAAATCTCCAGGGTGTATAACAATTAACATTGCCGCATGTTAAACACTTCATAAATATTTATTAAACATTCAAAGTGTTACCAATAGAACTTTGTTTTTTGAAAGAATGGCTTTATTAGATACTAAAGATTTTTATATTTCATTTGACATTAGGTTTTTGTTAGCATCATGTAAATTCAGGTCCAGCATTAATAATGGCAATTCAGATTGTTTGAAAGCAGAGTAACTGTGGGAAAGTGATAGTAGAATTTGAGCAATAATTTAATCGTAAGGGATGATGCTTAGTAACATATTAAAGATCTAGTTGGTCGTACAGCTAGAATCTACCCCAGATATTGAGCATATCCTCAGCTAGAAATAGGAACATATCCTTGGCTAGAAAAAATGTGTCCTTTCACTTAGTCTATCTCCCCAAAGGAGCCCACCCAAGCTATTAATAACCTATCCTAGAAACATGCTGCAGACTAATGTGGTGTTTCACTTTTAGAGCCCACCAAATCATTCATTTATATAAATTATTCAGTAAAAATGGGGTATGTGTGAATAGCCCATAAACAGAAATTCCTAATTGCGTGGTAGTGGGAAGTAGAAAGGAGAGCAGGAAAAGACTTGAGGTTCAGATAAAATAAAAAGATTAAAACTCCCTATTAGGATACTTTTCAAATTATGATTACACAAATAAATAGTTATCACGTAAAATTGAAAAAAATCCCAAGTATATTAATATAGTTTTAGTGGAACTTAGTAGAGAGGAAAAAACAAAAACCTAGGTTTTTTTTTTTTTAATTTCCTGTTCAGAATATGAATCCTGGGCATGTTATTTTGAAAATACATAATTTAATAATTGCATATGAAGCTGGGTGTGGTGGTACACACCTGTAATGTAAGCACTTGGGAGGCTGTGGCAGAATTGCTGCGAGCTAGTCAAGGCCAGCCTGGGTTACAAAGTGAATTCAAGGCCAGCCTGAAACGTACAGTGACACCCTCTCAAAAAGACAGAACATAATTTCATATGAATTAGCACTGGTCGATTTAAATAGTTAGACCAACTCAGTGGATTTTAAGGGAGCATTGTCTTGTTTTGCAGTTCTTCCCTCTGTAAGAAGAATTAAGAGTCTGCTATATCTTGTGTTTACAGTGTTTTCAATGGATTCCTTATTTTCAGTTGCTCTTTACTGACCATAGATGTTATTTTATAACTTAAAATGTATTTGGCTGTGCATTTCTCCTGTTACCTTCACTTAGTTTTGAGGACAGCCTGTCCTTTCCTTTCTAAACTCCACCATGCAATGGAGTTTACTGAATCCTTAGATCACCATTTAGTTCTTCCTGTCTTTGTATAAAGATGGTAAATGTCTTTTCCAGCCTAAAAAGGAAGACCAACAGCAATACAGAAACCAGACAACAAAAAATTCCTCCCACCCTTGAGCTCCTTCTCTCCACATCCTAACTTCTGCCGTGCATACAGCCTCTTTCCCCACCTCTGGGTTTCTCATCAGCTGCTGGTCACTATCTGTAGCTCCCCCTGGTTCCTTAGGAGAGAGGACGTGCGACACGCCCCCCCCAATCCTGTGTCTTTATTAGCCGTTAACTGTCCTGTGTACGACTTTCTGCCTGTTGAGCTCCCTAGCATTTCTAAATAAAATGCCTCTCTGAGCCCAGTGATTCCTCTAAAACCCCAGCACAGCCTGCAGTTAGTGCTTTTTTTTTCTTTTTTAAAACTTAATTTATTGGTACATTTTAGATATAATGAAAACATTCATCATAGGGAGTGGTGCTTATTTTCTCTCCTGTGCCATCTCAGTAATGTCCACGCCTTTAGTTTTCTTTCCCTCGTGCTGCCTGAGCGCCCATACAGCATGGCTATCACACTCTTAAATTTTAATTTTATTTTTGCAGTACCAGGAATAGAACTCAGGACATTATGCTTGCCAGGCAGGCACTTACGCTGCTGAACTATATCCCCAGCCCTCCCTATTGCACTGTTTACCTTGCTTAATGGCATTACTATTTACTGCCTGAAATATTTAACAGACATCTCATAATTATATTGTTGTCTTTTATCTTCTTCACACCACTGCTTGATCCCTTTGAATCTGCCTCCTAAAAATCTCAGGTATCTGCCCTTTCTTCATGGCTGCTGCTTTCTTAATAAAGCCTTCTTCATTGCCCCAACAGGATCTTCCAAGTGCTATAGTTCAAAATATCTCATTCCCCAAACCGGTTGTGGTAGCACATTCCTATAATACCAACATCATGGGAGACCGAGGCAGGAGGATTACAGGTTCAGCCCAGCCTGGGCAACTTAGTGACCTAGCAAGACCCTATCTCAAAATAAATATAAATGAATGAATGAATGAATGAATGAATGAATGAATGAATGAATGAGTGGGCTGGATATAATTCACTATGAAGGCCCACAGTTCAATTCCCCAGTCTCTATGTCTTCTGTCTCTCCCTTTCTCCCTGCCCCCCCCCCCACACAAAAGATAAACCATAAAGACGAGGGAGAGAGCTTCTGCCGATGGGAAGGGGACCAAGAGATGAGAGAGGCATAAAACCCATGGAGCTGTACATTTCGATGTGCCAGCTACCTACTGTGAAGGTCAGTACTGCAGGCATGTACTAATAACCTATATTTTAAGTAATTTCTCCTTATTAGTTTCCCTTACAAATTAACATTTTCTGTCAGACCTCTGCACTTTCAGCGTTACCTACTCTGCATCTGCTTCTCTGCAACTAGAACACTTGTTATTTCCAGTTTCGTTTAGCAGTCTGTTCAGCAAGACTAACTGAACATGTACTATGTGCTAGGCTTAGTTCTAAGAGTTAGGGACACAGTGGTAACAGGATTCACTCAAGGAGCTTACATTCCAGGTAAATGTTTTTGGAAGCTACTGTAGGCCAGCTCAGTAACTTTTTTTTTTTTTAATATATAAACAACGGAATTGTTCTTTATCTGCTAATTTATGGTAGCCTGAGCCATGTGGCTACTGGGCACTTGAAATATGTAGTGTCACTGAAAAAAATTGTTTACTTATAGCTACATAGATCAGTGGGTACCTAACTCAGTAGCGGGAGTCTATACCTATATAACTCTTCCTTAAAAACAGGCTTCTAGCCAGGCATGGTTATGCACACCTATAATGTCAGCACTTGGGAGGCTGAGGCAGGAGGATCACTGCAAGTTTACAGCCAGCCAGGACTACACAGTGAGTTTAAAATTGGCCTAAACTACATAGCAAGACCTTGCATCAAAAAAGGGGGCCAGGGGAGAGGTAAATTGCTCAGTGGCATAAGCGCCTGCCTAGCAAGCATAAGGTCCTGAGTTGGATCCCCAGTACCAAAAATAAATAAAAACAAAAAAAGACGAGGCTTTTCCAAGAGGCATAGTCCCATATCCCTAGTTGAGGTACAGTTGTGCATGTGCCCATGTTACAGAAATTATAGTTTAAGTATTGTCTCATTCATCTCTGGGAGTCTAGTACTGTCCCTGGCATAGTTTTTTGGTTTTTTGTTTTGTTTTGTTTTTTTGCAGAACCAGGGATTGAACTCAGGCCCTTGTGCTTGCCAGGCAGACATTTATTCTGCTGAGCTATCACCCTGGCCTCTAATGAAAGAATTTTTGTCATCTTCGTCCCTGTCTCCCGGAACTGGGAATTGAACTCAGAACTTTGGGCTTGCCAGGGATGCGCTTATGCTACTGTGCTATCTCCCTGGCTCTCCCTGGCATAGTTGGTACTAAATAAATGATAGCTACTATCAGAGGAGGAAAGATAAAACTGAAAACAAATTTTAAAACAAGGTAATAGAATAACAATGGCTAATATATTGTATATTGTCACCTTTAAATTACCCAGAGTATGAGATACAGGCATGTAATTGTCCAAA